TACAGCTTTGTAAAAATGTCATTCCAGAATTATTTGTTTCCTTCTTTGCTTTGGAATATTCCCACATTTTTTTGCATGAAGATAGAGAAGTAGAAAGCCAAACCCTTCTCTTTCAAAAATATATCTCTTTCCGTTTAAACAAGACACCGTAGGGTATTATGAAGTTGTCCCTCAGTTGAATTTTCATTGATTTATCTATTTTGATTACCGAGTAGGTTTTTTGTCAGAAACATTCACTTTCAAGTTTTTTAATCTACCCAAACATATTGGAATTTTTCTGAATTCGTATAAATTTTTTGAGGTTCATTTGCGGTAGACTGAGATACCCTTAGTTGAACTTTCTACATGTACTGGTGATCATTTCATCACAAAAATAAAGAACAAATTCATAAGAATTTCGTTTGAATAGTTTTGTTCCATCGTTTTGAAGGTATTTGAAACTTCTGAAGTGAAGAAAATGTCAATTTTATCAAGAGAATCTCACAATTATATGTCACAATTATAGTAATCATGGCCTGCTTACAAAATATCGAATGAAAATACCATTCTGAATGAACATTTTCACAAATAAATGCTCATAATTCCGAAACTTNCTGAGAGGGAAATGGTACTTTAGTTCGAATAAGTAGTAGTTCACACTTGCAACCATATCCCTCTCAGACAGTTGTCCGACTGTATGAGTCGGATCTGAAGGGTGTATGACATGTGTGTCCCGGCCTTTAATGTGCTATCCATCGTGAATGAGCCTGGATTTATATCTGTTAGCAAAATGTTTATAAAGTAATTTCATAGTAGGACTTTCGTGGGGTAGGTAAAAGATTCAGTATTATAATTTGAAGGTTTAGAATTATTGTTACTATAGAATCGGGAGTTTTTTCACATATCATACAAGTCTAGTTGTTTACAATGTTTTTTGATATGAATGAAAAAGCAGCTGGAACAGGATGAATCGACTGATGTGTATTTATGTGAAGTTAGCCACAGTTTTCTGTGGCGGTGTTGTCAGTTTTTTCTTAAAACTTCTTCAAAACAAAATTTTGATGATTGAAGTCGTCTCGATGTGTAACATAACCTTACCCGAAGGCTATGATGTTTTTCACTACGATACAAAAAAAAATATTTTTGCCCTAACTTACCACAGCCAAACAAATTGATTTGACTCATCAGGAAATTATTTTTATTATTTTAAAACAACGATAAAAATAAAAACAACAATATAAATTAATTGGCGCTCCGGGGCGACTTCATTTATTCCAGTGGCGCTTTTTCAGCTGCAGGAAAACCCGGAAAAACCTGCAGCACCACATCGTCTGAAGATCTTGATCTGTCAATGTCCTCTCTCTCGTAAAATAAAATGTAGGGTGTCTCCAGAGGCTCCAATAGATTCAATACATCGCCATAACACTTCGTGACATGAGTATCTTCAAACTTAAGCCAGTCCGTTTCGTCTTTGACCAAGGCGTAATAATGACCAAATTCAACGGCAGAACCACAGTGAACAATGACTGCATGAATATTATAATAGTGGTCTGCCAGATTGAAATGTTCATCTATTTCGAACCTTCGAAAGAGTTTCTTGCTTCCGTCAGAGTGTTATTATTAGATTCACTGGTGCCTCAGCTATACTTGTTTCTTTATAACAGTAAGTTAGTTTGGCGCATGTTTGGCAATACAGTCGATCATCACCTGTTAAAAATTCCATTTTCAGATGATTTAACAATAAACTTTGCACGGACTGGTTATTAAGTCATATTAGGAAACGCTTGATGAAGTGTCAGAAATTCACATAAGTTTTCACTACCTCTTGAACATTTACTGCAAAGTAAACAAGTGAGGATTTTTCAAGCAAAATATTTACAAACACAAGACGAGATGGACTGTACTGGAGTCAATACTCCAGAGCAGTCTGGAGTATTGACTTTGCTATTGTTTTGCTCACGAAGAGTATTCAACAAAAACCCCAAGAATTTGGAACAATCGTCTTGTTGTTTCAGCGAGTATCTAGTGGACTTCAAAGTCTCCAGGAAATCGGTTGGAGGGAAAGATCCTACATGATATTTTATATCATTACGAAAAAACAAATCAATATACCAGTGTATATGTTACCTTCGATATTTCTGCTATCGAACTGATTCCAACTTTTAGGCACAAAAAAGAATTCGGTTATTTAAAACTCCAGGTACACTATTGTAATGAACAGTTTAATATCATTATACGGTCACACGAATTGTTTGAACACTCTATATGTAAGCCTTTTGTATATGTCTGCATTTTTACAAAACAAGAATTTTTGGCACTCGAAATATATTTTTATATTACATATACTTTTTCTACATACTAAAACTGGGCCTTTTTTTCTGAGCGCGTTAACGAAGTTACAATATAGGTTAGTATCCATTAAAACAATATCGAAAAAAATTTTTCAACGCATTTTTACCGACTGTTCATCAAATTAACATAAAATAAATATTTTGAACGGGGCTTCAAGTTTTTGTGAGAAACGTCGCAAGTTACCGTTTGTTCTTGGAAAAGTTGGTAGTGATCCACAACCGTTAGTTCTTGGAAAACTTGGTAGGTAGTCATCCATAACCCACAACTTCAAATTAATCATAACTCACTACCTCCAAGGCCAATCACAGATGAATGAATTCATTACTCTACAGCTGGGTTCGAATATTTTTTTCCGAAAGTAATCTATCAAAATTCATCTGCTTCAAAATATGTTTTTAAACATCAACGAAAGTTCGTTTTAACATTTCTAACAAAAAAATAGAAATAAAATCATGAAATCTGAAAGTTAATACAGAAATGTGTAAGTGACAAGAAATGGTAATTTTCAATAACAAACTTATTTTTTGTCACACTGATTTGTTATCATCTTTCTGGAGAGGTTGTTTGAACTCTTTCATAAGATGAAAGTTAGAATACGCGTCAGTTGTGTGGAGTCCCTGTTATCATCTGGGCTTCAACAACTCAGTATTCAGCCATTTTGAAATTGAATGAAATAAAAAATGTTATATTCTCATCCGGGATAGACTTCATAAATCAACCTAGCGAGAAATGGACATCACTTGCTCGCTTGCTCGAATGCTTAAATCTTGTCTAAATCATAGTATCACGAGTAATTGCTACATTTTCCGCTCATTGAATAATTACTGTTTTCCAATAATCAATGTTCATGTAGCACAAATGTTATTTGTTTTCTCTGACCTGCTCGCCTGTTCACTGTATCGACTCACCCTGTATTGATTTCAACAATAATAATAACATTACCATTGATACATTTTTTTACTTTGTAGGTGTTCCAGTCAGTTGAAATAGTTTGACGAAACTTGATATGTACTAGGCGGATTCCCACAATTTAAAAAACAGAAACATTTCCTGTCAAGAAAAAGTTTCTCTTTTTTTACTTCCTTTTCAATGAATGGTCCGTTGCACCAAATTTACAAACGAACCACTTGACATCGCTCTGAAAAAAATATTATGTCGAGGGGAAGTAGTAATAGCGGATATAATATATCCACTACACATAGAAACACTGATAATTTGTTCATTGCTAGTTGCATACAAATATTACGGTCGTGTAACTCAGTGAAAAATAAAAATTTTCTGTTGAACGTTTCGATAATTCAGAAGAAATTTGTGAGAAACTAGCGGTTGTTGGTGCATTTTTACTCATGAATTTTTCATGAAGTGAACCTTACTTATACAGGATTTGCAAGAAAAATCCCAAATCATGATTGGCTTTTTTATTTAGACTCATGTTAGAGGCCTGAAAGCATGGAATAAACCTTTCTGTTCCTTCATCCTTCTTCTTATAAACACACGTCAAAACTTATAAGGAAGGAAGAATGTATCCTATTGACAAATTTGTATTTTGCGTTTGTATTGTATCATGTTTTTTCGCTGATTTCGCATTTATGATTATTATTAGTATTGAGTCCATACATAAGGTGGTATTAGCCAGGGGAGTAGATGTTTTCTGATAGGTGTCAGTCCATTAACCTACAGGGTAGGGATTTCAGACTGGCCTGAACAAATTGTTCCTTCAGATGATTTGATTTATAGCCAGTCTTCAAGTATGCCCACTATATGTGAGGTTTTTTTCCGTACACGAGGAATTGGGCAAATTTCGGATATGCGGTTGGTTACCTCGTTCACAGGCAGATGTGGCGATGACAAATCTGTTGTTTGTTCTTTGCTTCAGCCTAGTTCGAGAAATGATACTCTGAAGGAATTCGATTTTCAATTATCGATAATCATCGACTTTATGTTGATGATAGACATTACCTTCCACTGATGAGTGGCCAAACAGCCCGAATCCGGTCTGCAAGTGTGTTCCAATAATTGAAAATCTATTGCGGCAGTTGTATCGCCAACCATCACATGCAGGAATAACTTCTGTTAAGAATCCTGCACTGACACCTGTCGGATATAATTCAATGCCCTTCGTGGTATTAACCATGGGAGTAGTTGTTTTCTGATAGGTGTCAGTCCATTAACCTACAGTGTAGGAAGTTGAGACTTCCTTCCCCAGTATGTAAAGCAAATAGTCGTATTGAAAATTGGAGTGAATATCATTAATGGAAAATTCTACAAAATGTATTCAATAAAAAATATTTCTTTAAAAAAACATTCATAACACTAATTTGGATACTTTTAACGAAAATTTACTTAAATTCTTGTATACTTTTCGAATATATAAGACTGTCGGAAGCAAATATATCTATTTTTACCCAACAGACAGTTCAAAAAATATGACATTTGTTTCACAGAACCTGTTCAAAATACTGCGGCGTAGAGTTGGAGATGGCCATTTTGCCAATAAAATCAAGTCTGCTCAATTATCCCTGTGCTGATGATAACTGCGTTGTGGGTTCCCAATGAAGGGTTTTACCGTGTTATTATTTCGATATTCATATGTTGGCAATGTTAATTGTCAGCGACCGCTGAATTTAAATGAATGTAGTCACAATTTTGATAAAACATTTTGTTTTCAGGTGAAACCACGTCCCCGACTGAAGTACTCGAGAACAATCCCATCCATCAATCATCAAAACCCATCAGAAGAAAAAGAATGGATAGAACAATAAATAATAATGGGCCAATCACAACACCGATCTCAGCTTCCGACTACGTACTGCATAATAACAATAATCACCTGAAAAACGAAAGGTTGAGTCCAGGAACTCCGGATACGTCCAGTAGGTCGAGGTCAGCCACACCGAGTTCGGCATCTCATCCAGACACTCCACCCGCTTCTGAAACTCCTTTACTTCCACTCTCCGGCAGAAATTATAGCGATTTCATGAGAAGTCTGGCTGCCAAGTATAATAACACCAATCCAAATGAGTGAGTAATTTACATTTGTTTTCTTTTCGGTATTTTTCCACAGCATTGATCAAACTGTAGCCAATAATGAGAATTCTATAATTCTGCTGCTGGTGAAATTGCAGACGGGCCAATATATCTCTAGACCTTTATTTTATCGTGGAGAGAAACCCCTGAAAAATCAACTTTTGATTCAATTTGCTATAAAATGATTCATGATTATTTTGTTTACCATAAAGGTGTCCAGTCTTTTTCTCAGAATTCACCATATGCGTATGAAATAAACGATTTGGCTTCAAACGTATAGTTCAAGTAAACGATATAGTGCAACCTACCTTCCAACCTACCTTCCATATATATATGCATTTGTATTTCTTTCTTCTGGTTACCACGTGTTGCCCATCCTTACACTTGGCTGCACCATACTGATGATAGGCCAAAAGCCCGAAACACGTGTCTATGATTTGCCAATTTTTTGAATCCGATTTTGAGATAGGAATTTTGGTCAAATCTGATGTTGCTTGTAATACTTTGTTTTCCTCGAAACCAAACTTGAGATGTAGATTCTTGTATACATTGAAACATACTCCCTGTGTTTCATTATTCAAATGCATCCGAATCTTATTCACTGGTATGTCTTTTTCGCATTGTTCACCATAGCTATTGGAATCACTACACTGGAAAAAGTCTGCGTTGTTTTCACACTCGTTATTACTATTAGTGCTTGTCCAAGAACGCCACATTTTAAGGAGATAACAAAAATTTTAAGTATAACTGCACCAATATGGAATTTCAACACTCAAATCGCGAGCAGTTCCTAAGTTGAACACGACGGCGAAAACCATCTCCGCATTCCCCGATTTCTATTCGTCACCGTAACATGACTTCAAATTTAATCTTATGACACTGCACCCAATCATAAAACTCGGTTAGTAAAAATTATCCAAAACGAACCGTCAATTCTGCAGTCCAAGTGAACTATTTCGCAGTAAATAACTGTTGACAAGACTTCTATTCACAGTGGAATAAACAAACGTAAAGTACACTGGAACGGAAACATTAACCACAGAAGAGAAGTTACTTCGAATGTCCAAGCTATGTGCAATGGTGACAACATGGTTTGGTACATGACAACAGAATTTGGGAAAATTCCGAAGTGAGAGAAAATGTTACGAACAGTTATCAAAATTGTTATTTCTTTTGAAACATACGAATTACGTGTATAAGTAACCTTCAGAATACAGAAGAAGTCAAACATGAATGCTCAATGATTCCACTCCAAATTTCGTTTGGGATGCTTCGTATAAGTATATCAAAAATTATAACAGAAGAAACAGCGTAAATGACTTGGTATTGTAGAAACATTGAATTATCTTAATAATTATTTTTATAATACACAAAGAACATATGGCTGTAGCATTATCAACATACCTGTTTACACCTATCCTTTCGGGTGCGGCATAGTCAGAGCTGGAGATCATTTTATTTCTATTATGCACTTTTTGTGCTCTCAGATGATGTTGGATCTACTCTTCTGACATATCCCTGAATATATTGGTCCACAACAGGTAATTTTTCAATATTTATATACATAAATAAAAAAGGAAAGAAACCATAAACATAACACTTCAAAAAAGCGGATACGTGTTTCTGGCTATTGGCCTCATCAGTCTGTCCGCGGTTTGCCCTCTGTTATTTGGAGTGTTGTATTCACGCATTCTCTCCTTTTTGATTCAGATCATACACTCGCGAGAACATCCATATCTTGTATTTATATCCTGAACCCAGACGTCACGCAGCTAGCTGTAGCTGTAGTGGTTTCTAACTGAAACCGTTAATGTTCGGAAGGCTCCTGTTGTTGACTCCGTTCATATCTGTTGTTTCCTGTTTACGGCAACTATTTATTCAAAAAACACACTTTGTCGTGGGATTTCTACTTTAAAGTCTACAATACCGTGATACGTGATTCGCTATACGATAGCATGTTCTAGCAACCATGTGTTGCTCATCTTTACACTTGGCTACACCAAGTTGATGGGGCTAATATCCAGAAATACGTGTTACACGTGTTCTCTGTTTTCCTCCTTTTTGCCTCCTTTCTGATTAAAATCATACACACTCGATAAAATCTATATCTGTATATCAATTTTGTTGTATCCTGATACTCATTTGGAAATTGTTGACATACAGAGCTTTCTATCAATAAAAACAAATGATGATTTTTTGAAACCAAATCCATCTTGATATTACCGATGAACTCTTCTTGGGAGAGAAGGATTTGGACTGTTCTTGGAAGAGAATGATTTTTGTCTTTCTACTTATACATCTTACCAAAAAACTGATCTTTTCCCCCCCTTTCAATTTTATCTTTTTTTGTTTTTCTTATTGCTTTCTATCAGTTGGATAATTTCATAATAATAAAAAAAGCATTACTTCTGATATCAATATCAAATGATGTGTTCAACAATATTTCAGATGTTTTATGGCAGATGTTTTTAACGATTTTTTTAGGTTTTTTATCTTTCTCAATCTGGAAAATATAAGAATTTTAATGGAAGGTGAAAGTATCAAAAAAAAATCGATGAAAAATACTGATTCACTTCCCAAAATAGTGGCTTCTGTTTACTACTTCAAATCCGTAATCACATTTTTTTTTCAATTCATCCCAAATAGTTATAGTGTTGTTGTCAGCGAAAGCATAAATTATTCCTATATTTCACGAACTGAATAACTCATTGCTAGGATTGTTTCCTGTATTTGCTTGGTATAGGTATATATTGCTGCGTTGATTGATTTCTGTGCAGCTCCCTGTATTCCAAAAAAGTTATAACTTTTTGAGAAGTAATACATGAATAACCGAATTTAATGCTGGAAAGATCTAAAATTACACTGATATTTGAAATATTGTTATTTTTATCGTACTGAACGAGATTGCAAAATCAGTTTTTGGTACTTTCCTAATTTTTTCACATGACCTGTAGATATCTTTTCCGTTTCTTTGCATAGAAAATAATTGAAATTCATTAAGTTTTACTTTCAAACCGGTATTTACTCTAATAACAATCTCAATATGTAAAATTTTGTTGTTTTAATTTCAATATTGTATACACCCACTAAACATTTCATTTTCAGTTACTTCAACGCAGCTAGAAATGGGTTTCCACCACCTCTGGATCCAAGATTCAAGCCTGCCCCCTTTCCCAATCTAATTCCTTCCACTTCCCAAGGTAAAGATACCGACGCCAACAACAAGAAGCCAGATTTCTCTGTACTGAATCCCTTTGCTAGTGTAGCTGGAGTACCAGGTTCATCAGCAATGTTTCCACCCCTCATAGATATGTCGTCGACTCAAACCCTTTTGGCCCTTGTAAGAACAGCCAAAGAAGCTGAATTGCAGGTAAGGACAAGCAAACAATCATGAAAAATAATAAGAATGGTTCTGGTTTCAAATGTACAGGATGGCCAAATGAAGACGGAATAGAGCCGTTATCAACCTTCTAATGTATATGGTTTCGTTCTATAGGTGTTTTTCTAGAAAACCTCTTAAGAAAATTAAGGGCAACAAATTGTGGCTCGTAGAAGTCATTCAATGTAACCTTTTCTTTCAAGACACTATGAATATAGTGGGAGAACAAGCAGGCATTGAATGGTTTTCACGGTCTCACATTGATTTACCTAACCTGGAGTGTTTTGTGAATTCAATAAATGACACATTGAAATATTGAAATGTAATTCTACTATTGGGATGAATTTTGAAATTTGAAAATCAACGTGAGAAAATTGTTTCGTTTCACCATTAAAATATTTTGGGGTTAGCGCTGAGTCACAAATACGTAGAAAGAATGTCCACCTTTTACGGATCCCAGTTTTTGATAAAATTTTGACGATGTTCTTGATAATGATATCCATGATAATAATGATAGAATTTTCACGATATATTTTATTTTAAACGCGTTTCTCTACGCGGTAGCTTCATCAGTTACTGGTACGAAACTGATGGAGCTACCATTTAGTGAAATGCGTTCTGAATGCAATTTATTGTGAAAATTATATAATAATTATTGTGGATAGTTTCATTAATTTTCATCAAGTAACGGGTCAGAGCATTCATAACTATTGATTATTGCCGTTTCCTGTTAACACTTCTTTTCAAAAATGGTTCGGACTCTATTTCTTAGTTATACATCAATTCAGAATAAGAGATTATTCATCTGGAAAAGTATAGAAATGAGATGAAATTGACGTTTTTCTGTTGTTTCAATATCGGCCACCTTTTGTGTTTTTGAATTCTTGAACTAATTAATCACGATGATGATTACTTGGTGATTGATACATGTGTCGAAGTGTTAGAAATAACGGTTTGGTGTTGGGATATAACTTAATGAACTAATATTCATAACTATACCAATGGTTCCTAACAGTGCATCACAAGTAAGAAATACAAAAATTGTATAAGTAATATACATTGCTAATATTGTGATAGATATGCTGAATTTATTTATTGTTAAAAGGTGCATCCTGTAAGTTGTTCGAATTGACACCAGTAGTATGTACCAATGATGTTTCAAATGGTATTTTAGACAATATTGGTAATGCGATTGAAAGTACGGATACTAATTTTCAGAAAAGACAAAAGAAATTACTTCATTTTGATTTCAATTTTAATTTTTATGAAGTTTGAGATACAAGCTTTCCGTAAATATTAAAATTGCATATTATGTTTGAAAAATAATGCGTTTGTGCTAATAACAATGCTAATTTGAATTTCTAGAAAAAACAAGAAAAAATAGTTGATTTGGTTTCAATCTTCATTTTGATCAAGTTTGAGATGAAAGCATTATGTATATCTTTCTTTGAAATGGAAAATTTTGCTTCAAAAGTAATAACTTGGCTACTTTTTCATACAAATATGGCCGGCTTTCACCCCTGGATCTCTCAGCGGCAGCACCTCCATCGAAAAGGTCCAGAGTGAAAACTTCTTCCAGAAGTAGTCCAACAAGTGTAGGTTTCACGATACCAAAACGGGCGGAAAGTGAGAGCCCAAGACTGCACGAGGATATTTCCAATTGGTCAGTTGATGATGTGTCGAATTTTGTCTCCCGGATAGATATTTGTGCTGAATATGCTCAGGTGAGTTTCATTTTTATTTGGTGAACGGTAATGGTGAATCCGGAGAAATTGTGAAAATTAACAAGTGTTTCATTTTACCTATATAATGTTGATGAAATGATAAAAACCATAAAATTGAGAAAAATGTCTCCATATGAACAATAATAGTACTCAACCAGTTTTCAAAAAAATTGAAACATATACGGTAGTTAAGGGTATTAGTTTTATGATACCTTTGATTATGTCAATTCTCTATCCATTACTGTTTTATTTTTGGTCAGATCAGTCGTACCAGAGTAATTATCAGTTCAATGTTCATTTTGGGAATCTGCAAACAAACGAAAAATTTCATAAATTCAGGAAAACATGCATTCAGACCCCACTACATCCCAATAAAGGTTCAAAATGTTCTCCATTTAGTTGCTGACAATTTCTCACATTGCGGAATATTTCTGGAGTAATTTTGTTAGGGCACCTCTGATTCCATCCATGAGCATTGAAATAGACTGCGATTATATAACATACACTTCATATATTTCACGAATCTTCACAAGAAATCTAGTGACGACATATCGGGTAATTAAGTGGATTATTCTGAGAGAGCACGTTTGATAGGCATCCATCGATTTTGATGCTTTATCCCTTTGAACCATCATGCCATCATCAAAAGATATCTCATCTGCATTAAAACGCATTTGGGTTTGTCAGTTATCCGAAACGGTAGATAGGTACACCTGGTTCTCAAAACTGACCATCTAGAAATTTTTGAGAGGATACGTGACATCTGATGTGTTCGATACACAACCGTCGTTGTGGAAAAAACAAAGGATGCTTGCAAAATAATTGTACAAGGAACAGAGAAATTTATAAGTCACTGAGCGCATCAAAAATCGTCAACTTGATAGGTAAAATCTATTTGAAAACAACTTGAAGCGTTATAAGGGGGTATATCGCTTACCGAATTTCATTCAGAGGACATTATATCCAATGAAAATAAGGTTTAAAGTACTCTGTCATGCATATCTTCTATATACAGCACTATCTTACAGAAACCTGAATCCTGAAACGTGAACACAAATCAACAAACTTGGCTGCACGCATTCTATCTCTGTATTCTTGCCAGTTGTATGTACAGTTGGGTAGATATCCAAATAATAGACACTCTAAAGTCGTATTCGGTAATTTCATCATCAGTGGTTGAGAACATGTTGGTCAGAAATACAGAAATAGTTTTTTTGGGCCTATGCATGTGTGGGCCATAGTGGGCAGATTATACCCGCACTAGTACAAAGTAAATAATATTACTGGAGTTTTTTTCCAAGACCAAACCGTCAACACCAACCATTTCAACACCTCGACACGTATTTCGAGAAGAGGATGATCTTCCTCTTGAAGATGATCACTTGATGATCGAAACACGTATCGAGGTGTTGAAATAATAGTTGGGTATTGGGAAAAAACTCCAGTAATATTTATTACTACACCAGAGGTTCCAAACAGTGCATCACAAGTACTAACATAAATTACACAAATTTATAGTGGACAGATCAATAAATGTTAACTTATCATACATGTTTCAGAGTCCCGACTAAAAAAACCTATTTTTTAGGTTCTTGATGATATTCCAAACGGTGGAATTTTTGAATTGATTCTTCTTCTCGCTGGAGAAAAGTTATGATGCTTCGATGAAATTTTGAAATTTGTTTTCCATTTGGTGAAATCTAGAATTATTAGATTTCAATTTAGAAAATATATCAGAAACAATGTTTCACACGAATTAAACCAAAAATTTCTGAAATAGATAAATAGATGAGTTTATTTGACTGTTATACAATGAGTTTACAGCATGTCATACATAGAAAATAGTCATGGAGATACGTGTAATATATAAACCCATAAAAATTTCATTACTTTTAGATTTAAAGGTACATTACAATATAACATAACGTACACATTAAAATATGTCATTAAAAGTGACATACTTCACCAATATGAATATTATAGTGAATGATTATTGCTTGATATATTATTAATCAAAGGTTATTGATTTTTTAAAAATTCAACAATACTATAAAAACAATGGTCTGAAAGTATATCTCTACTAGCTCTTTTGAATTCAATATCATTCTGTGAACGCATCTCTGAAATCAACTTGTAGAAANTTCAAATATTCAGAAGAAAACTTCAAGAAGTAGATGCAACTGAAATAATATTACATTAAATTTCCTCTCAAATATCATAGTATTGGGGAAAGAAAGGTTTTGGCTTTCTACTTCTTCATCTTGATACAATAATTTAATAAATGAGTGACAGGTTTCTCCAAAGGCTTCAATGTTTTTCAGTTTTTATCTGAAACAGGCTAATTTTGAATTCGATCATTGAAAATTTAATAATAATCTGATTTGACGTATACACAAGATTGATGAATCATTTGATTTTTGTGGCTAACCTGGGAATGAAGATAGAAAACTTATACACACACATATATTATATACACACATATATGTTATACATATAAAAAATCACACAAATTAGACATTCAAAGTCTCTTGAAAAGTTATTTATTGGTTGAATTTGTTACAATCAGAGCTTAGAACTATATTTTCTCACGATATCGTCAAAAAATTACTCATCCCCAACGTAACATAGACTACCATTCTGAATGTATTTCGTTTGATGGATTCTGAAACTTGTTTACAGCATAGACTAACGAATTTCTGGCGTTCATATTTAATGATTACTTGCGTTAATCAGATGTGATAAATGGTAATTCAATATATTGTTCGATTCCACAGTGTTTGTGCCCTCAAGATAAAATACCAAAAAGTTGTATTAAAATATTTCACCTGATTTGACAAAGACACGTTTTTTCTTCAGAAAAGGATTTGGAAGAAATTGTTATGAAACTACTTAGCTAATAGTATTTTCATGAATATCCTCATGCATGTAAAATATGAAATACAAGTATATTCCTATACAGAATTCTCTGGGTACCAAGTTTCTGTTGGTGAATAATTGTATCCTAACCTATCCGCCACTTTGTTTTCATTACTCAATTTACGAAGTGAATTTGAGGGGCTTCGATTGCTCATCTGTATCAAAACAGTATTTTATATTTCTATTTTATTTTTCGACTTGGGAAAAAGTTGGGAAGTGAAGATAGAAAAAAATAATAGTAAAAAAATNTTACTTCAGTGAGTGTTGTAAGTTTTGTCTTGATTCGGGCTGCCTGTTTTTTTTATTTGGCTTTTACCGATAACCTTCTGTTTGGTCGAGAATATGGCTCCAAAAATCTGTCTGAAGGCAAGTTATCTATATCGAAAGGTGGATGCTTCATTCAGATATACCGAGCTCGAAATTTGTTATTCGTTTGAAAGATATATTGATGCCATTATGTGCAGAATATAACATTGTTCAAATTTCCGCTACAGCTACTCTGGGCGGTGCGCATCCGAAACGTCCGATTTTCGATGACTCTGGCGCATAAATCAGGCTAAATTTGACCGATGGCATGGGTTATGTTGGCTTTAAGGACCGCCTTGATTTGTAGCTTATTCGCATTCACCTGCCCCACAAGAAAAAGTCTAATGGGGTCAAATCGCATTATCTCGGTGGCCAGTTCACATCGTCTCCACGTGAGATAATCATGCCTTCAAATCGCTCGTGCAGAATATTCAATGTGGCATGATTTGTGTGGCACGTAGCGCCGTCCTGTTGAAATCACATGTCATTGGTGTCCAGATCATTCAATTCAGGCCAAAAGGAGTTAGTAAGGTCATCAGTTTCCAACTTCTCCAGAGTCTATTCAGCGAACACACGTCGTTGTCTATGGTAATATAGCTTCATATCCTGGGTCAGTTGAATTTTTTACGGTTCCAGGCCCAAGTCTGCGAAAGGCCGAGCGATGCGAAATCGAATGCCTCGGATTCTCCTGCACACTCTCACAGACAGCAGCAATGTTTTTGTCAGATCTTGCGTTTCAACGACGTACAGATGTTGAATGATCATTTATTGAACCAGTGGACTCAAATTCATCCACCACATTGCGATTTGTCCCCTCGGTAGGACGATTATGATGACTGTAAAATGGACAAAGCGGGCGGTGACTTGCCCGAACAGAATACCTATTTTAATAACACTTTTCTTTCATTTGCACGCCCGTGGTAATTAGGCAAAACAGACTGAATGAATGACAAAAAATTTATATTTTTTGGTTTGTATTTTGATGAGAAGATACGTGGGTGATATGAATGCAACATAACCCGTGAGTTCAAAGGTAACTTGCAAGAGTGCACAAAAATTGTGTTTATAAATTGCCCAATATATTTAATTTATGATTATTACCTGGAACAGGTTAATCTTGAAATCGATCGTTAAATTTTTAATAGTGATCTCATTTGTCGTATAAACAAGGCGAATTATTCATGTCACCTCACAGAGGATAGTCTTGCACATGCAACAGGATTGCACAGCATCCAACGTTCCGTTGTTTTTTCAATGTTATCATGAAATATCGATTTCGCAAAATAAACATCTATCAGATAAGGAACTCAAAGCCATCTCTGCTCAAGAGATGCAATAAAAGTCGGTCCAAGAAGTCGCTTCTCAAAAGGCCGGTGGTCACGTTCCCGGATTCTCTTTTACCACCGTCACGTACTGGAGTTTACGCGAGAACACATCTGTACCATTGTACTAGCGTGAAACATCTATAAGTAATTTTTATTTCAATGAAGATCTCTTTGAGTTATTGTGATATTGCGATCAATCGTGACGCTATTGCATTGAATCTGATCGAACGGTGAGGGGTGAACAAGGAAAGTGCAGGTCCGAACTCGGACCTCGACTCAGAAGGAACGAAGCGCGAAGGAATGTTGGAAATTACAACACTCACTCTTTGTAGACTCTATTGATGAACAACAAAACAGTACGAAATGCTTAGCAGCTGTTGTTTGGGCCTCTAGATGGGAAAAAGAGACTAAATATGCCTGGGCGAAAATTGTATATGAGTATTTATGAGGAAA